ACAGCAGCAGATCTGCAACAGAACGACTGAAGAAGAGAAGAACGGAGCTGCTGCAGAGCTCAGAGAGCTGTGCATGAACGAATGCTGCAGCGAAAAACAACAATGTGAAGAAGAGTGGACCAAAACTCCTCCACAGTGATGTGAGAGACTGACGAAGTCACAGAGAAAATCCTCACTGCAGGTTATTGGACTCAGTCTTTCCCTCGACTGTCACATGAAAACTTTCCTTTACATATAATCGTCTAACACTGTCACTGCACGGACAAATACAAGAGAGAAAGGTGTGAGGCTGTGGTATCTGTACAGATATTTGTAGCTTCACGTTATTCTGCAGCTTGTGATGCTTCTGCTTGTTTGCTGGGGTGAAACTGGAGCTTCAAAGCTGTGGCTGTTTTTTTCTTTCTTCAACACGTTTGAAGAAATCTGAGTCAGAGTCAACAACAACATCAACCTGCGTTTATTTCATCCACACTTGTCACCATTTTCACAGCTATTTGTCTGTCACTGCTTAATGGCACAGAAAGATGACATCCAGTCGTTGCTCTGGCCTGTTCCAGCCTGGAGACGTTTCTCTGCTGTTCAGAGAGGTGGTGTGAGCGCAGTGGTCAGTAGATGTTTCATTGCAGAGTTGAAGTACACATGTCAGCTTCTGCCCCTCGTGACAGATGTCACCTAAAATCGCATTACCCTTTTATTGCTGCCAAATGGCCAAAGCCACAGCAGCAGAAGCCTCAGCTGTGTTGTATCATGAAACGCAATGTGCTGACAGTTTCATATTATTACCAAATATTCATACCACAGGAAATAGACTCGAACAGCTAAATCAATTGACTATATTCAGGATGTATCCTCTCCAATGAGGAGGTCTCATTTGAATAAAATATTCTTTTTAAAGTCAGCCTGGCAGTCCTCGCTGCCACCCACCTCACAGTCTTTCAGTGCAGCAGATGATGCAGTCAGCCTTCGGGTCGATCAGAAATAGTCCAAAACAAAACAGAGAAAAACACCCACAACCTCTATATACACTATATGGTCCGAGTGCAGCGCTGTATGGAGCTTTTTCCTCCACATTCTTTTGTTGCGAAGTTAAAAATGTTCTTTCTTTGTTTGGTTTTGAAACTTTGTAAAATGTGAAACCGAGGAGATTTTCATGCATATGCAACACGAGTCAGGCTTTCATGTCAGTCGATCTCACGCTGTGGGAAGTATGGCCTATTAAAACGTTTATAGGTGCAATAAATACGATTTCTACTGAGCCCAAAGCATGAAATGGCCGCAATTCATCTGCAGAGAGTTGATGGGGGTGTTGATCAATACGGTGAGTCAGCCAGATGCTGAGGTTTCTTCCTCAGCCAATCCCAATGTGGACACAAACAGAGAAAGCAATGAGCCGAGAGAGCGCCGAGAAGAAAAGACTACGATGCAGCGTGGAATTTGGCACATGACCGCTGAAACCACTGACCAACGATCCGGAAAAATACAAAGAAAACAAAGGCGCAACAGAGACAAAGAACCTGAGAGATGTTCAACTAACAAGCAAGGAAATTAAAAATAAGGCTAATGAAGACCCCAAAGGAGGACGCGATGGACAAAATCAGGAAAAGGAAGGTAGGAAAGTACGAAGCACAAAAGCTGTTAATTATTAGGGCGGTCACCTTTAAAAAGTGAAACCAAAACAGAGAAATCCAAGAAAATAGAATCAAAACAAGTGAAGTGAAAAATTATGGATGAATTACTAAAGTCGAAACTATACCAATAACTTTAATGGTTTCTTTAATGGTTACAATAACCATTAAAGAAACCCTGAGCATCCATCACACAGGCCACCTGTAAACGGTTCGTTCAGGAACCGTTTGAGTCTCTCGCCCAGCGTTGTTGTTGAGT